ATATTGAATATAAAGGAGCACTACTTTAAGAAGTGGAAGTGATCTAAACAACTATCATATTAAGATGAATATGTTAGGTTGCTTCGTTTATCCAAGGATGCAATAAATTCTGATTATCAGGCATATCTCGTGAATACCGAAAATTGTATATCCACCGAGCCCAAAAATTTCTAACGTTACGTGAATCAGAAACATGGTAATTCGCGTATTCCAGGCTGTATGACCTTTGCTGGCTCTGAGATCTCTGATCCCCTGGAAATAGCGCAGGCCTTCTCTGTCTTGTTTTCTGAAGCCTTCAATCCTGGACTTACAACTATCAATAACTGTAACCAGCAAGTCAACTGTCCTGGATCCTTCTATATTACTCCATTTTCTGTCGAGGAGGTAGAAATCTGTATGAAACGATTAAAGAATGACTTTACCGCTGGCGACGACGGTCTCCCAAGTTTTATTATTAAAGATTGTGCACCCTTCCTGAGCAGACCTTTAACCTTTATATTTAATTTGCTTAAAAACTAAAACTTTCCCTGCAGTATGGAAAAAAAAATCGGATATCGCCGGTTTTTAAAATGGGAGACAGATTTAGTACCTATTGAAAATTACCGACCTATTAGCATTTTGAACAATTACTCGAAAGTCTTCGAGATGTTGATATTCTCCAGAATGATCTACTGTATTCGCCCATATACAGGGTGGTTCAGTTTTTAATCGGGAAACTTTACTAGGACGTAGTACTTGCCAAAATAACACAAGTTTTTTATATAAACATAGGGTCGCAACTCTTTTGTTTTCGAGCTATGACCTGTCAAAGTTGAGCCAAAAATTTACATTTTATCTTTTATTTCGGGTATAAGTAAACCATAGAATTTGAAATCTTGTATTTCTGAACTACTGGTTAATAATATCTTATTTTGAACCATACTTTAAACTTCCCTAGCGCCCTCTAAGGGGATGAAATTCACAACACCTTTGATTTTTTTATAACTACTTTTTAACGCCATGGAATAATAACATAAAAAAATATGGGTTGTAAAGCTTATTCATTATTGGTACTTTTTTGTCTCTTTAGTTTTTTCCTTAAAGATAATAGTTTTAGCGTAAAAAAAATAAAGTATGCTACATTGTACTGTAAAGCGTTGCTATTATTAAAAAAAAATTTCTTGCTTAATAACAGTCAAAAATTATTAATAACCTTCACCAATTATGAGGATTCACTGTAAATGAAACTTTCAAGTTCTCAGCACCAACTTTTAGAATCATTTTAGCTAAACATGGCGGAACATAGCAGTACATGGCACGATATTTTACTCTCTTACACGGAAACTATTAACTTTAAGGAAAATACTAAAGAGACAAAAAAATACCACTAAACAATGAGCTTTACAACCCATATTTTTTATGTTAATACTCCATACCGTTAAAAAGTTCTTATAAAAAAAATCAAGGGGATGGTGAATTTCATCCCCTTAGAGGGTGCTGGGGAAGTTTAAGGTATGGTTGAAAATAAGGTCTTAATAAGTAATACATACGTACAAAGTTTCAAAATATACGGTTTACTTACAGCCGAAATACAAAACAAATTGTAATTTTTTGGCTCAACTTTGATCGCTCATAGCTCGAAAACAAAAGAGTTGCGACCCTACGTTTATATAAAAAAATTGTGTTATTTTGGCAAGTACTTCCTAAGCAATATGACGTATTTGCGAGCAATCGAAGGAAAAACTAGAAGGAACAGAATATGAAACAAGAGCATCAGAGAAGAATGAAACTTGAAAGCTGTAATAGAGCAGATAAAGAAAGAGCTGAAGTGGTATGGTCACCTGGTTTGAATGAATACGGAAGTCATACCAAAGATAATGTTCAATATTAAACTAGAAGGATGTTCTTCTTCATTCTCTACATTCTCGACGTAGACCAAGAATGTAGTGGAAAAAAGTAATCAGGAAGTGTTGCCGAAGAAGAATGGCTAGAGTTAGCAACACCTACAGAAGACGGATCTGAGATCCAATAACGTGAAATAGAATGGGGGCAACAAAAAGATGATTAAACGGAAACCTTTATCTTATAAAGAACTTCGTCGTGCATTTGAAGAAAGTAATGCCGAAATTATGTGTTTCAAGAATATGAAGATATTTTGATGACTAAGAACTTAAGAACAAGCAAGCTGGAGTCTGGAATGTTCAATAATCCGTCCAAGGTGGGGTCTGAGGCAGTTTCGTTAACGGCGGACTTTACGGTATTGCTGAGTTAAGCATCTCTGATATAAGAAACAAATAAGGGGAGAAGAGCAGCGAATTGGCTAACTACAGACCTATTTCGATCATTGCCATAGTTGGTAAAATCTTTGAACTCTTTGAACGTCATTAAATCGTAGTTGAGTGACTATTTAGAAAATCACATGTTATTGAACTCTCAGTTTGGTTTTCGTCAAGGCATGTCCACCACTTCAACAATACACTCCCTAACGCATACGAAATGGCTTTGAAAACAACTTGCTGGTTGAGAAATGTTTTTATGATCTGACCAAGGCTTTCAATTGCGTTGACCATGAGTTATTGTTGCTAAAATTAAAAGCTCGCCATTTTAGTGAACATTTTACTGCTTAAGTCTTACCTTTCGGAGTGTACTCATAATGCTCATTCAACAACCAGACTTCTGATAAAATTACAGTTAAATACGGAATCCCACAAGGATCTGTGCTTGGTCCGTTGTTGTTTTTGATATTTAGTAATGACATGCTTAGCTGCCTACCACAAAGGTCATAGGTTATACTTTATGCGTATAATACAGCAACTATTTACTACCCATCCTAATTTCAATATTCTTGATCAGGCTGTCTTGATCTAGCTCTACTTGAAGACTTCTATCTTGGTTTGAATCTAATAATCTTGAGCTGAACACGTCCAAGGCTGAGTCGTGGGAGGATCATGTGCTGAGCTTGGTCAAGAAGTTAAATAAGTGTAGTGTTGTAAAGCACCTTTTACACCTTTCAATTGAATACAATTGTTTTATAATATTTTTAATTCGTAGAAGTTTATTAAATTGTTTGTAAATTGCAACGGCATCGGAATTGGACACAATTGTTTTTATTGCTAGAGAAAAAGTGTGCTGGAAATAAAGTTAAAGATATTAATTAATACAGTTAAGACTACTTATACGAAAACTGTCTTTATTTGGTTTGACTAACACCCACATAACAGTATTTTTGTAATTAGATTAGACATTTTTTATTGTAATATCTTGCAACTTTTCTTTATTTAATTTTTTTGTGCTTGCTGTAGTCAGCTCCTATTAATTGCATTGTATTTGTATGTTTTTTCCTTTTTCAGCCTAATTTTCGCATTTTTTTTCTGTACTTTTGTGTATCAGTTTTAGTCATTTTTGTCATTTCGCCAGTGGGCGTATTATCTTCAGCTTCCAGTGACACGACAGGTTTTATTAAGATTGAAGTCGGGGATGGCATATTGTCATTAGTAATTGAAACCTTTTTCTCTACTTCAGATCTTTGAAGCTGGTCTATATGACGTTTGATCACATACCCATCATCTAACTCTACTAAGTAATGCAATTTCCTAGTTTCTCAACTATTGTTCCTAGTTTCCATAGGGTTGATGGAGAATAATTTATGGATTGGATTCTTTCTCCTAGGCGTAACTTCTTGTTTACGACTGGTTAGTCAGCATTGTTTTTAATAGAGTTTCGATACCGTAAAAAATCCAATCTAGTTCTTAAATTTTTGTTCATAAATAATTCTGCTGGGGTTTTGTCTGATCCGGTTAGTGGTGTTGTAATGTATCTTAGCAAAATGTTATAAAGCTTCTCATTAATACTTTTTGACTCGTAGGACATTGCTTTTAGGTGCTTTTGTAAAGTTGTGACATACCTTTCCGCCTGCCTGTTTTGCTGAAGATCTCTTTCATCATATACCGGATTAATCCTGTTGTTGGAGTTGTTTTTGTACTTATTTTATCATCCACCATAATAAAAAAGAAGTGTCCTGAGATCTTGAAAAGGTCTTCTTGGTATTTTTAAGATTAGTTTTGTCTTCGAGGCATCTATTTGAAAACCATAACGTACGTAGTAGTCTTGCATGTGTTTTAGTGTATGCGTAAATATCGTATGTCCCGTAAATAACAGGGATATTCATCTCATATTATTGCCTTGTTGTTTTCCGTTGGTATACCTTCCTCTTCCTCTCCTCTGATATCTTCTCTCATCCACTTTATTTCCTGATCTGTTATTATTGCCATATTAAACCTTTGTGGAAATTCAAGCAGTACAATTTCTGCTTCCAATTCAATGTGCGCACGCTCCATGTTCCTATCTCATATTATAATTTCTTTTGTCGTGATTGTAACCGTAATATCCGTCTATTCCGAGGCTACTTTGAAGCCTCATCGGGCAACCCTCCTCCTTTATCCGGGCTTGGGACCGGCAGTGACAGTTATTCAATCCACCCAGAAACTGCCCCAGGCGGAGTTAATATTCTGAGCTACTATGGAGAAAAAGTTTATTTGAAAGAAGCAAAGCAAAAATGTCTTTCATTCATATTGACAGTACTGGCAGGTTATGACACCAATTCATTCTCGGCTTTTAGATTTTCCTGTGTTGATGTAGTAGTTTTTGGAACTAATCGCTTATTTTAGGTTAATGCGATAGCTCGGTAAATGCTACGTAGTCCAAGAAATCGGCAAATTGAGCTATTTTATTTCTGTATAAACTAGGAACAAAATTAAATTTAACACTAACGTGTATTATCGAATGGACAAGTCGATAATTTGCGAATTCGATGGATTTAGGGTATGGAATCGCGAAGGACCCGAAATTTGGAGCTTATGCACTCAGTGATCTCTTGATTCGTGGTGAGCAGAAAATTAGATTCGCTTAAACGTTATTTTAAATCGATCAATATTGTTGGATAATAAATACGAGGTAAATAAAGAATTGTTTAAAAATAATAAAACAAATATGAAATTTCTTTTTGATTTCATTTGGAATATGTTTTTTTTAAAATACTATTTACAAAAATGTTCTTTAAATCCTTTTAATCATTAAAATCCTCAAAATCTTCTCAAAACTACTTTTTCTATTTACTACTAACGTTACTGTCGTCGTTATGAATGCCGCTGTCTTCATTTTCACTGTCTTTTTCGTTTTCGCTAGCCGATTCTTCAGCCATCATATACTTTTTAATACCCTGTTCTAACATTGATCGTAAAATCTTCGTGTCGTTAAAATTATCGAGAACATCATTATTTTGCCGTTTTCTACCTCGTTTTCCTTTCGACGGCGAGTTTTGATTCGAAATCCTCTGCAATAAACCGCCAAACATTGGCAACATTGCCACCATTTGCGTTCCGATCAATCGTTCAAATTCCAATTTTTGTTTCTCCATTTCTAAACGTTGCTTTTCTACTTCTAAGTGCTCTCTTTGTATCTCTAACAAACTTTTTAACGTTGACGATATCTCTGAAACAAAAAACACTTACATTTTTTCCGCCTTCAATTTCAATCTTATTACCTAAGTCGCCTCTTTTGTCTTGATTCTGTTGAGGTTGCATACTGTTTAAAATTAGTAAAGGTACAGGAATCGATCCTGGCGCGGTTCTAATGCCGTTGACATTGTTTTGATTGATAGCTTGGGTGGGAATTTGAAAACTAGCCACGGTTGGGGTGGTTTTTGATACATTTTGGGACGAATTACCCATTTCGGTTTTCTGATTACTTTGAGTTGATTGTACAGCCTGTTGTACAGGTGGTGGACTTGAAATCGTCGTTCCTGATTCTTCATAATCTGTCCTGAAAATAATTTAATTTATGGAAATGCTAAAACCCGACCCAAATTCAATATTTCGTTAAATTTCCTATAAAATTTTAAGGCGAATCTTCTATATTTAGAGATTTTTATTATTTTTCAGTTTGACGGATTTTTTTCGAAAAATAATTAACGTCAACGTCGTCACAGATTTAGTTTTGAACTTAACATTTCCTCCAGATTTTAAAAATTAAGTTAAAATTTAATGTAATAGTTTTCGTCGTTTAATATCTTCTAATACATATTTCTTTACGTTCATTATTTATTGGGATTGAAATTTAAGACTAATTTTCAATACGTTTCTGAATGAATCAATTTTGATTGACTTTGTTTACCAACTTACTCTGTTATTTTAATAGAATATTTTGCTGGGTATTCATCATCTGTGATTCGGTTGACATAGCCAAGGTGATTCAAACAAACTTTTTACTCGATGTGCACACAACTAAAAAAAAGTTTGTTAGACTCAAAAACATATCTTACTCAACACTATCGTTTGTAGTCCAATCATCGTTAAAGTCGATTTCAATTTCCTGTTTGATATCTTCACACTTGGGTCCTTCCAGAAGACTCTCGTTGCAAGTTGGAGGTTGTTCTTTTCTGAGTCCTTGCTTACTGAGGATGGCATCCATCGCTTTGAAGTGAGGCCAATCGGGATCAACGGTTCCCAAGCCGGTGCCACAGACCATAGTACGCTTTATACGGTGATATAGGCATTTCAAATTTCTTATTCTGGTTTTAATTTCGTCAGGCGTTCTATAAAAACCACGCTGTTGCATGTTAGCCGCGAGAATTCGCATTACCGGCGCTTTTCTGTGTGTGAGGAAGAGCTTGTTTTGTATCAGCGGGTTGCCCCATAATTGTATAAGCAATTTGGTCTCATCTTCGCGAAAGTTCGCCGTGCGCTTTTTTGGTACAGTGCGAAGATGACCATCCATCTGCACTGGTAAAAAATAAATACAAAACTTTATAACTACTTTTTTTGTATTAAGTTTTTCGATTAACTTTTGCAACTTGACTTTGTTATGATTCGATTTGTTTTTCTGGCACGCCTTTTATGTTTGATAAAAGTTATTTGCAGAATACATACGTCAAACTTGGACAATTGAACGGCGACGTAAGATATTAGATTTAGATGTTTATTCTTTAGCATTCTTTAATTCTATTTTTTTGACATCTTCCATAACTTTTCTAATCCAACTTTAAAACATTTTCTGAAAATACAAGTTAAATGCATTTTCACAACATTGTGAAAATGATGTTCTTAAGGTAATTAGCGTTGATAGTGCATTTCTTTCTCGATCTAAAAGGTTTACTATGTTGCAGCTGTGTATTTATTGGTGCTTCTCTGAGTTACAAGATATTAATGAGTAATTAATCAATCTTATTGCTTCGAGACCTACCCAGAACATGTTACGAGACTGTTTACTGTAAGGAATATATATGTTCCAAATTGTGTATACTTTAATGTTGTAATGGCACAGATTATATTTATGCAGGTTGCTTAGTAATTGGCATTCCAAATCTGACATCATAAAAATATACCACGCTACTACTCTTCTACTCCTTTCACTATTCTTTCTACAATATGGCATATTTGAATTGCTTCGGATTGTGAAATAGATTTAAAAAGATATGAACATGATATATATTTGTAAACCGAAGAAGTTGTTTACTCGTTTTAAAGTTTTAGGATAGATAGCAAGAGGAACAAGCTTCTTAGACTTGAGTGTAGCCTTCGGCAATATGCCAAAGAAGATCATTTGGAAAGCCATGGAAGCAGCACTAATACATGAAAAGTTAATCTAAATCACATGATCGTATCAAATCTTAAGGAAAAGTAAAGAGCACTGAACAAAAACTTGGACACTGGAGAATGGAAGAAGTAAGGCTCCAAAGTCTTGTGTCATCTAGATGACATATTACAGGCGGACACAGTCAAGAAGTTACAAATCGCAGTCAACAAATGGAATATCAACGTACAAAGTATAGGAATGGAAATAAAAGTAAAGAAAAATAAAATAATAGAAACCAATAAAAAGTATACAGAATACTTTCCTCCTTCCATTGGGAAAAGTTTTATGAGTTATAAGGTCGTCTCAATTTAAATGAATAAGCACAAAAGCAAAGTAACAGCTGCAGAAATGAGCTGCCTAACGCGAATAATAGACAGGACCAAGATGGATAGAGTCAGAAATACAACCACAACAGAGAAATTGGGTATAGATCATTTAGTGAAAAATATACAAAACAGACAGTTGCAGAAGTATGGGCACGTGATCCGTATAGATGATAAGAGGCTCCTAAAGAGGATGATAGAGGCAAGAGGAGAAGGAACATTGAGGAAGTAAAGAGGATGATGTTAAATAGAAAAGAGTACCAAAAATAGATCGAGGATCCAACGCCGTATGGTATAACGGAAGAGGCAAAGAAGAGGAAGGATAGATCGCATTTACTTAGACACTGAATAGAAGATGAGGAGTGCCGTCTCCGAGTAGAACACTTAGTTTAAAAAACTAAATAAAGGCAACAAAAAATTAACAAATCAGTTCGAATCTTATGGCCCGTAAAGTACTACTTTACGCCCGTAGTGCTTTAATACCAAGGTTATGAAATTACATGAAAAAACGTCATTATGACTCCAAAAAAATCAATATACATACGCTATGATAAAATTAAGACGTGATCTAATCATTTACAAGTAAAGAGTTTCATAGAGAAGGGATAAGTACAATTAAAATTTTTATATTTGACTTTCGATGACAACAGAGACAGTTACTATGTCCAAATTTTGAATAATAAAAACTTCAAAAAGTTATGTCAAATTGCTATTTTGATAACCTTACGTTTGGTTAACTTCAAATTTTGACACCTAGTTTCGTTATGTAAGGTTATTTAATTGTCATTTTTCTAACCTTTATACATATTTAAATCATTTTCTTTCGTGAGTATAATGTTATTTTTGTGTTGTTAAAAAAACTGGTTCTCGTCAGTCGAGTTTTACTCTATATTGTTTTATTAAACATTCTTTCATTGATTAATATGTTTTTCTATTTATTCCCACGTTTTAATATAGGTACATATGTACACTTCTAATTCATGTACAGAAAACAACTTGTTGGTCGCCGTATGCAGAGCGTTCGTCTATCGGTCACAGTGATGGGTGCTGGGTAAATACCTGGCGGGTAGGTATTTCTAAAATGGGTATTTATCCGGGTATTTACCCCGGCCCAGGGTAAATACCCAAACAGTGGGTATAAAAGTGATACCAGTAAAAATATATCGATTCCAATAAAAATGAAGAGGAAGACGAGGAATTGTCAACAATCAAAGACGAATCTGCCGTAATTTAGATTAGATCAAGTTATTATGATTATTCTCACCAAGCAGCCCTCTGCGTCCATTGTTGGACATAGACCTTTCCTATTCTATGCTGTTTGAATCCAATTGTTGGTTATTCTTTTGACGTCCACTTCGTCTGTTCGCTCGCGGTCTTCACTCGAGCAACCGTTTTGTCCACTGCTCATTCTTGAACGGTTGTGAAGTTAGCCATAGATTCTAGCCATAGATTTTAAAATCGAAAAATGGCCGATTTCTGCAAGTCGAAACGCAAATTAAAGTTCATATTTGAGTTTAGCGATCTTAGAATAACTCGTGTACAAAAATTTATGGGGGGGTGTTTTCATTTAAGGGAGTAAAAAAATCCCAAAGTTGTGCACATCGCGTGAGCGCGAATACTGTTCGACCAAAATCGAAAAATCACCAATTTCTGCAACTCGAAACGCAAATTAAAATTAATATTTGAGTTTAGCGGTCTTAGAATAACCCGTTTACAAAAATTTACGGGGGGGTGTTTTCATTTAAGGGAGTAAAAAAATCCCAAAGTTGTGTACATCGCTTGCGCGCGTATACTGTTCGACCAAAATCGAAAAATGACTAATTTCTGCAACTCGAAACGCAAATTAAAATTCNCCTTTTACCGATTCCACAAAATGTGTAGAATCCCTGACATACGATTCCGTGTTACCTGTAAAGGGGGACAGAATCTTTGCAAGATGTTTAGCCAGCTGGTATGTTGGGGAGTTGATGGCGCTGGCGATGGGGGACGTCTGGTTTGTGAATCTTCGGTATTCCTTAGATTCTTGGTGGTACCGGCGCCTGCACAAACAAACCTTTCTGCTGTTCTGCTGGAATTCTTGTGGATTTTATCATATTATATAATTTCGTCACTGATCTTCGGCCGCAAGCGACCTCGAATTAATTGGTCGAAAAATTTGCAAATGCGTAACTGACCGGCCAAGATAGATTTACCAAGCTGTAATACAATTAAAGACATGGAAATAAAACAATTTTATGGTGAGAATTGCATTTGGTACGCGATAAGCATTTAAATTAGAGTATTAAAACGGTTTTACATGGAAAATAAATGGTTGTAAGGGGGATGTAAATTCAAAATAATCTCCGGTTTAATCTTTGGTGAATTAAAAAAAATTGTAACGCAAAAACAGCTTTCCCCAAAAAAACATTAAAACAAAAATGATTGAGTTTTAGATAGAAATATTGGTGGTTATTTTTTCTCTTCGTTCCACCAATTGATAACACTTTACAGTAAATAGTCGTTTCGAATTAAATCGGGAAAACAATGTAAATAATTCAGTGCAAGCCGTGGAACGAAAATACGTGTAATTTCAGTGGGTGCAACTGGTGCAGGAAACGTGATGGTAAAATTGTAGGACGCGTGTTCAGCAGATAAACCTCGCAGCTGGAACCTATTTCGACTTGTTTACTTTCCGAGGTATTTTTTATTTTCAACTCTTAATTCAATTAAAAACATTATGAAATTTTTTAAAACTCCATCGATTTTAATTATAATTAACGAAATAAAAAGGACAAAACAAGAAATAAATCGTGATCACGTTCTACTTTGAAACGATTTTTGAATATCTCCTAATTACCCTAAATAGGAGTAAAGAAACATCAAAAGCTTCTTTTAGAGATTAAACAACTTTATCTAAATATAAATACTCTCTTTGAAAATTAATCTAAGATTCGGGGATTAATTAACGTCCGGTTTCGCTGGTAAGCAAAAAGCGGGTTCAAAATTGAACTTGAAAAGTATTTTTTTTTTGCCTTATTGTCCTCTTCTGCCCGGAGTAAAGGGGGTACAATAGAGGCCAAACGAAGCGCGCTTTATCCCGTTCCAAACATTTATAGGACCTAAAATATCCCAACTTTTCCAATTAAGCGGACAGTAATAAGGGGGTACCGATTCCGACGCCACTTCGGAGCCCTACGGCAGAAATCCTACGGATTTAGTCCGTCGCCCCTAGAAAGTTCATCGTTTACGTGATTTTTGTAACGCAACCCCATTTCGAACGTAGAAAGTTAAAAGGATAATCATAAAAAGGATCGTTTCGACGTCCATAATCCCTTTTTCATTTTATTTATTGGTACTTTTTAGACAATTATAGAAGTTAAGGTCGATTAAAAGAGATTTTTTTGTGTTAGAAGAAACCGTAAGGTTTTGTCTGGATTAAGGAATTTATTGATTGGTACCCTTGAGTAAAAAATTCGTGAAGGTAAAATCAAGAGTTATTGAGACTTTTTGTTAGAAAATTCGAATTTGTTAATGGTTTTGTCCTTGAAGAAACAGTTTTTCACTCTGCCTGTTATCATTTACACCTCATATATTAAATATGAACCATGTTCTCATAACTTTGATCACTTTAAACATTCACGGTTGTGAAGTTAGCCATAGATTCTAGCCATAGATTTTAAAATCGAAAAATGGCCGATTTCTGCAACTCGAAACGCAAATTAAAGTTCATATTTGAGTTTAGCGGTCTTAGAATAACTCGTGTACAAAAATTTACGGGGGGGTGTTTTCATTTAAGGGAGTAAAAAAATCCCAAAGTTCTGAACACCGCGTGCGCGCTTGGAAATTCAGAGTTTTTGATTATTAGGTTGAAAATATGTAAGAACGGATGTGAGAGTGTAGGGGCGCAATCGTTGACTAAAAATGTAGGTATCTCATCTGGGCAAATTGTAGCCTTTGTCTTGAATTTTTTGAAAGATTCAACCATTTCGTCGTAACTGACTTCGGAGATA